ATGCGCACTCCTCCCTTCCTCCCCATCAGCCTCCCCTCCTTCCACGGCATCGCGATTCTCAACCAACATCCGCCGCTCCACCACCACTCCCACTCCTATCCCAGAACTCGCCCTCGCGCGTCTCGCAAACGAACTACGCACCCTCACCCGCCCAGGCGCGAACCCCGAACTCGGAACGGCACTCTGCTGGGCGACCGACACCCTCCTTCCTCCCTCGTCCTCTGAGAGTGCGAAAGGGCTAGGCGTATCGGACGTCCGCGCTGCGATCCTCTCGCTCGTTCAGACTAGAGTGCTTCGTCTTCCCTCCTCTGCCCTCACCTCTTCCTCTTCCCCACACACGTCGTCTGGAGCTGGAGCGGTGGGGCTGTACTTCCCCGCCATCGCGCTCGCATCGGCGCCGGTGGAGGAAGCGAACGTCGAGGCGAGTTTTAGTGGTGTGGCGTTGGTCCTGCGCGCGAGGAGGGATATGGACGCTGGTGAAGTCGTTTGTTTGGACTTTACGAGGGTGGGAGGCGTCGAGAAGGTACTGGACGCGTAGGTGGTGGTGGTGTGCTGTTCTGGTTGCTCCCTGATGCTTTCTCGCTCTCGTGCTCGGACTCGGACTCGGATCGTCGTTCGTCCATCTGCCGATTAACTACATAACTCTCATTACTCTCTCTCTCTCTCTCTCGCTCACTCACGCAAACTCTCCCTCTCTTCTTCTCTACTTGTTCCTTCTGACTTCTGACCCACCGCTGTATCCCTGGGACCTTCCGAAACCAAAATTCCTTCCTCTGCCCCTACGTGACTTAGATTATATCACTGTATTTAGACCTGTTAACCGTAGCCATATACACGTCGTGTTCATCGAGCCACCAGCTGAATCCGCAATTGCCAGTGACCTTGAGGTTGGACTCGACCCGAGTCGACCGCGCAAACCTCCTTCCACTCCTGTTTTGCGCTCATCCTATCATTTCTTTTCCATAGTTTTAGGCATGTCGATTTCGGCAGCTGTTAAACTTACTGTTCCAGCAAAACGAATACCGACTGGAAAGCAAGCTTGCAGTTTCTGCGTGTAATACGGTAATGCCCGCCAGCGCAGCCAGGTCATTCAAGTTACCGTATGTCACGGCTTCGTCCCGTAGACTAGTTTCTGCGTCGCCCACGCACCTCACAACGTCGCCGCCTATGCAGGAGTTACACCTCAATCACGATGTCGCCAAGGGGTGGCTTGGTGTTCATGACCATGCACACGTCTGCCCTGCCACTCGTTTCGCAGGACCGTGAACGAGAGCTGACCTTGCTCGGCGTCGCTCGAGTCCTCCCGCATTGGCTATTGCTCGCTCAAAGTTCTTCCCTGGCGCGGTCTGCTCCCTACCAGCTCCAGAACGTCTTGGCCATGAATCTGGATCCACAGCGGAAGAACTTCCCTTCCTTTGAGGACCGTGGTTGCGCCCATTCGTCGAGCGCGGCAGCGGCTCTCCGCCCCGGGGCGCTCCACGATATCGGTTTGATTTATAAGGACTCGTCTGGTGGGGTTCAACCCTCCAGACCACAGATCGATACTTACTTCAGAACAAGAGCAGTATGTCCACCGACAAGATCACGTTCCTCCTCAACTGGCACGCGACGCCGTACCACGCGCCCATCTTCCTCGCGCAGAGCAAGGGGTTCTTTGCCGAACAAGGGGTCAAAGTCGCCATCCTCGGTAATTACATCGGCTCGTTGTCACATCTACTCTGACGCGTTTAGAACCGAACGACCCGTCGGACGTGACAGAGATTATTGGCTCGGGCAAGGTCGACATGGGCGCGAAGGCCATGATCCACACGTACGCATTCCGGCCCCCCGGTTTTTTTTTTTCTTTTTTGCAGGCAGAGCGGGAAATTGACGTCGAGGGACGGGCAGGATCGCGGGCAAGGCGCGCGGGTTCCCGATTCGCTCGGTTGGGACCCTCATGGATGTACGCTGCGGCTCTTCATCCTCCTTCCCTTCTTCCTACCGTCTAGCCCTTGATCTCACTTATTACTTTAGGAGGTTCGTCTGCCGCGGGCAGTGTAGCTCGCTCGCAAGCGTGAAGTGGAAAGTTGTCTGGCACTGGTAATGTCCCCTCCACCCCCTCCCTGCAGCAGTGCACACGGGTGTCTGCGCCAACCCTCGGTGAGGCGCAGGCTGAGAGGTAGACCGTCAGCATCGGATCATGTTCATGCATGCGTCGAGAGCGGCACTGCTCGCTCCTCTCCCACTTCCCTTGTTTCGCTGACAGTTGTTTTTCCATCTCGCAGCCGTTCACGGGTGTGATCTATATTGAGGGCTCCTCCGGTATTACGGCCGAATTTACGAGCCTCAAGGGCAAGCGTATCGGCTATGTCGGCGAATTTGGGAAGATCCAGGTGCGTGCACTTGCGCTACTGCATCGAGGAAAGAACGGACGACCAACTGGAGTGTGCTTAGATCGATGAGTTGACGAAGTACTACGGCATGAAGCCCGCCGACTACGAGGCCGTGCGCGTCGGGATGAACGTCTCGCAGGCGATTATGAACGGCACAATCGACGCCGGTATCGGGCTCGAGAATGTGCAGCAGTGCGAGCTCGAGGAGTGGCTCAAGGCTCAGGGCGTGCGTCCTCTCCCTCAACCCATGCGTTGTCTTACCCGCCGCTCATCATAATCGTGTCGTACAGCGTCCTGCGACGGACGTCAAGATGCTCCGCATCGACCAGCTTGCGGAGCTCGGGTGCTGCTGCTTCTGCTCCATCCGTTCGTTCTTCTCCGTCATCGTCAGCTCTTCCCACTTGACGCTATGCAGTGTACATCGCGAACGAGTCCTTCCTCGCCGCGCACCCGGACAAGGTCAAGGCGTTCATGCGCGCCGTGAAGCGCGCCTCCGACTTCCTCATCTCAGACCCCAAAAGCGCGTGGGCGGAGTACAAGGCCTTCAAGAAGAGCATGGACACGACGCTCAACGCCAAGATCTTCGAGCGTAGCTTCGCGTACATGTCGCGCGACTGCGCTAACGTCCCTCGCGTGCGCCGCATCTCTTAGTTTGCCTGTCTGAATGCTGACGGAATGTAGGACTGGACGAAGGTGACGAACTACAGCAAGCGTCTGGGCGTCGTCCCCGCGGACTTCGAGCCCAACTACAGCAACGAGTACCTCTCGTGGGCTCCGGAGCCTGAGGTCGCGGATCCAGACGCGAACCAGCTCAAGGTCGCTCGCGTCCAGGAGGACGTCCGCGAGCACGGCGGTGTGCTTTCGCTCAATGTCAGTGCGCCCCAGGTCGCTGTCTCTGCATGAATAGCGCAACTTGTGTAAATCTCTGTATCTCCTCTGCGTAACCTGCCAATAGCAGCGACATCTACGTTGAACGAGACCCGGCAAAGATTCCGAAGCTTTCTTGGCGAGTTGAGGAAGCTTGGTCTCTTGTATATGCAGCTTGTTCATATCATCTGAGAGACGGGCTTGTCAGCATTTTGTCAACCTGCTTGGAAGTGGGGTTGTCCTCATTGCGTTACAGAGAATGAGTATAGGCGTTGGGGGTTGTGTTTCCCGGATCCGCGATCGGACTCGTCCGCCTCTTGTCTCTCGCCGTTTCGCGCCATGGCTGCTCATCGCGCACGCGTGCCTAAGCACTTTGAACACGTCGTGGCCCCATCGCCGTTTGCATCCAGCATACCAGACAACTTCCTCCCGTATATCCAGCTCAAGTTCGGCGCGTTCTACACATATGACCAACAGCCAGACTTTACAAACGGGCAGACTTTGCTAGCAAAAGAACTGATCGAACATCCCACCACATCTGTAAAGGCCAGCGCTGACCGTGGTGTGGCCCAAGACTGCCTTTTGCTTGCTGGAAGGCGCGTGGCTCAGCTGGTGGATGTTTAGCACGCGACGACGGCTCATCGAGTTCGACAGGCTGGCCGTCGGCTGTGGCGTCCGCCAGGACGTCAAGGGCGCATATCGATACCTGCTTCCTCTCGTTATGGATCTACCCACCCGCCCATCTCACGTTCCCCGTCCCGTCGAAGCTCGCGCACACTCAGTACTCGCGAATCTAGAGCTCGAGGACGCTACGCGTGATCCCGACGAGTGGAATATAGACGCGCTCTTCCGTGCAGCGTCGTTCGCAAACAATGCAGCCGCTCTTGGATTTGTGTCTCCCGTTGTGCTGGACATCGCGCGACGCACGACCGAGATCGGCGCGCGATCCCGCGCTACCTGGCGATACTCCGACTCGTACCCTTGGAAGCCAGAGTTTGCGAAGCTCGAGTATCTCTGGGGCGCTATGGACGCACGACTCGCGGAAATCGAGCGCGAGGACCGGAAGCAGGGGCACAAGATATCCAAGAACCCGACGTCGTACATGTGCGCGACGCCAGGCTGTGGCATCACCGTCACGAAGAAGGCAGCTTTGCTGAGGTGCTCGGGCGGTTGTGGCGGAGAGCAGAAGGCTCATTATTGCAGTAAAGAGTGCCAGGAAGAGGTACGTTCTCCACATTCGCCAGCCTCACATACATTTCCACGCTGACGAGCCTTGTCTAGGATTGGAAGCGGCACAAGGCAACCTGCAAACCCGGGAAGGCTACAACTACTACTACTACTAGCGACGACCCTCAGACGTCGTCGCCGCAACAAGCGTCCACGCAGGGTCCGTTTTGGGGGGAAGACGCCGACGGCAAGGAGCGCAGCGTCATGATCACTGTGCCCGACATGCCAGATGGCACGTTCAAAGTGTCATCGAAGACGATTGGTGCGGCCGCACTGAAGGATCTGCGGGCTGCTATCGAAAAGCCCCCATACATGCCGCAAGAGTAGGATTCGGAGGCGTCTCGTCTCTACTCTTCGAGTAGACTGCACGATTGGTCCCTGTAGCATGTAAGGCACTTGTGTTCGTTTGTGTTGCTCGACTTACAGTGTGCTGGTCGTTGAAGATTGTTTGATGAATGGGATGCCTTTCTACCCGTCTTGAGCGATGGCGAGAGGATCATTCATCATATATACACAACTGGAGCGCCGATCATCGGTTCGGTGGCGTAGTTGGTTATCGCATCTGTCTAACACTGGGTTGCGAGGCTGTTGGGTTCCCAACGGCCGCGCTAACCTTGGTCACCACAGAAGGTCCCCAGTTCGAGCCTGGGTCGAATCATTTTGTCAATACTGCTTTTCGAGGGGTTTGTTTTTGCTTCCCATCCTCATGCATGCAATGTACCATCTCTCAACATATCATGTTCATGCCAACAGCCCTTACTTGCATCGAGCGCAGGAAACTCACGACATTAGGACGTGTACATTGACAAGCCCGCGGCAAAGGCGCACGTGGACAAAGGTAAGGAGAAAGCTGCGTCGCGCGACGATAATTACACGATGACACGATTCAGAGTAGCTACCGCTTCGAGTCCGTGCTACCGTCATCCCCTTCACTGTCGGGCGGAGGGTCGCGTTCGAAGGAACCCAAGCGCGCATCTTGATCCTCTTTCGCGCGCATTTCGTCGAGCAAGCGCGTAAGCTCCTTCCTTCGCGCCATGCCCTTCTCCTTTCTTACCGCTTGAGCCTCTTCGAGTGCCTGTAATAAGGGTTCGGAAGGCACATGGATGAAAGATGACACTGAGGACTGACCTTGCGCGCACTCTCGTTCCGGTCGTTGCCTCGGTCTATCTCGCTCGCGAGGTTGTGATTGTGGCGTGTGATGCCATAGGGGAATGCGAATGCGAGGAAGAACTATTGCAGTGAGTATTGGTGAGCGAGGCGGATGGACAGAGCGCGAGCGACGGAGAAATAGAGAGGACTGGACTCACCAGCGTACCCAGACTGAGCAACACGCCCTCGCCCCACTCAACCTCAGGCCGTACCTTGGGCGTCTCCTTCTTGCCCGCCGCACCATTCATATCCGCCCGCTTAGCACGCTGGTACGCCCTCCTCCGTTCGAGCTCTATCTCTTCCTCAGGCGTCAGCGGCCGCTAGACGTTGGTCAGCACGTGAAGCCCGAACCGTTCCAACGAACGTACCTGGTGTTGCTGTGGCGAGTGTGGATGTGGATGTCGTTTCCCGCGCAAGACATCATACGCATCCGCCAGAGCCTGGAACCGTGCCCTCGCCAACGCAGGCGGGAGCGCAGAAGTATCGGGATGGTGCGCCTTTACGAGCTCGTAATCTACAGTAACACAGCGTCAATAACTAATAACTCTGCAATGACGAGCAACTTACAGCGATTCTTCACTTGTGCGCGTGTGGGCTTTGCGCCCTCGTCAAAGTGGAATATCGCGTGCGCGGTCGGGCGGCGCGATTTCGGCCATGGGTATAGCGACGACGTCGACGCGTGCGTCGCCATGCAGCGGGCGAGGTTATGCGCGAGGTGCGGCGAGCGCGTCGCCAGCGCGTGCATGTTGGCTGATGACGGTGACGGTCGTAAGCAGAAGCGAGAGCCGGTCCTTCCGCTCCGACTCGATGCTGTTGATTCCGATTTTATTCGCGCCGTGGGCGTGAATGCCCATAAACACTAGTCCAGTCCATACATGCGTACAAAGTGGACAGCCAACATTGAATTTCACCCTTTGATATGTGCGTCGTCGTCGCGTAGCTTCAGAGTGTAGTACTGGGCATCGCGATCGTGCTCGTGTGCGTTGTCACCCTGCCTCCGGCTCGATGCTAGTGACAGCTATGTTACTGTATTGCTGATTTTGTTTGCATGCGACAATAAGCACTAGAACATACAGAGATCTACTTAACACTAACAGCGAACTGGGAACTGGGGAGCATACAATCACGTCGCGAGTCGAACGTCCATGGCCGGGCTGGCGACGTGAAGGGAGGACTACATAGTGTCCCATCGTCTCTTCCGCTCCCCACTAACATCCTCTAACCCTCCCCCGCCCCCTCCTCCGCCACTCCCGCCGCTCGCACCAGCCAGCGCCGCAACGTTTCCAAAGAACTCTGCAAGACTCACACCAGGCAACGGGTCGTTTCCCCCGCTTCCCGTAGCAGGAGGCGACTCCTTCTTCCCTCCACCGCCGCCACCTCCACCGCCAAAGATATCCAGCCAGGTCGTATCATGCTCCGGCGGCGCGGGTGTCGGCTGTTGCTGCGGCGCGGTCTGAGGCGGGGACGGCCACTCGAAAGCAGACGTCGACGGTGGGCGGTATTGCGGTTGTTGTTGTTGCTGCTGTTGGTGTTGGTGCTGGGGAGCAGAGAGCCCGAACGCGTCCATCAGCTCGCGCGATATGTTGATCGACACGTTCATCGGGAGCTGAGGCTGCGGCGCGGGCGGCGCGGTCGATACGCGTCCGAGACCGTACCCCGCGAGCGAGTTCGTGCTTGACGGCAATCCTGCAAGCCACGTTTTCAGTTTTCAGTTTGGAGAGCGAGTGAGACGTGGATACGGACCTGTAAGACCGGGAATCCCTCCTAGCGAGGGACGGTGTTGCGCAAAAAGTGCCGCGAGGGGAGGGGGTGGTGGACTGATGCCAGGCATCCCAGGCGGCGGGGGATGCGAATGACCGTGTACATGGTGGTGATGCGCGTGTGCGTGTGGATGGTGCAGCCCTTGTAGAGGCTCCAGTGCGTTATACGGCGGCGGCGCAGGATACCCTCCATATCCATGCGAGGACGAGCTCGTCGAGGCCGAGTCGCGACGCGGTCTCTTGAGCGGCGGTTCCGAGATATGGCCGTGGTGGTGGTGACGCTCGCCAGAGATGGGTATCGGGATGGGCGGTTGGTAGCTGGAGGGCAGGTGCGTGGGCAGCGCTCGGCTCGTCGGCTGGTCGAGGCAGGGCAAAGTTAGCCAGACGAATGTAGATAGACGACCGCGCTGGTACGCGTACCTCGACGTCCATCGCGAGCTCCTGCACGTCTCGCGCGCCCTCGTCGTCGCTCCTGTCAGCGACGGCGTCCTTGTTCCCGCCACCGCTCTTCTTCCCGCCACCACCACCGCTGGCGCCCTTGCCGCCTTTCGATTTATTCTTCGAGCCGCCGCCGCTGCCGCTCGGCGCGCCGGGGCCAGGGCCGGCTCCCGCACCACCATCAGAGTCGTCCTCGTCGTCGTCGTCGCCGGCGCCGCCGTCTTTGTCCTTGTCGCCAAAGTCATTTGGTCCCTTTGCGTCGCGCTCTCCCTGGAACTATTGTAGACGCGTCATGAGCGGGAGCAGATGCGCGCAACGGCCAGCGAGTCGACGCACGTTGAGACGTTTCTTGACCATCTTGTCTATGTCGGTGCTGCAGTATTCGTACAACTTGTACTTCTGGCCTGCACACTGGCGGGTTAGAAACTGTACAGTTTACTGGGGAGACCGCGCACCGACGGGCCCGCCAAAGATGATGACGGCGACATCGACAGAGCAGAGAACGCCGAGCTCGTAGGCCTTCTTGAACAGCCCGTTCTTGCGCTATAAGGGCGGGTTTGGGGGATATATGGGCATGCCAAGACCAGGTGAAAATAGCAACGCACCTTGAGAAATGTAACCGACCGGTTACGCTCGTTCTGCGCCCTCGTCAGACGTGCTCGATGGGCAAGAGCGCGCGCACCGTGATGGACTTGATCTCGATCTTCCTGCGACCCATTGCTCGGGGGGCAAATCTGAGGCAGCTGGGGACTGGGACTGGGACTGGTTGAGGGCTACCGATTCGGCCTGTGCTCCTTATAGAACAGAATGCTAACCAGAGCCAAAGATAACCGCCCGCCGGACACCGCCGTGCCGAACACCCTTACGGAACAAAATTCCTCCCTCCCTCGCTGTTCCGCACTGCGCTCTCTCTCTTCTCACCGTGCGCGCTCACAGCAAGTGAATACCGCGGTTGTGCAGTGCGCTACTCTACTCTCCCTCATTCCCGCCACACTATACTGCAGGCACTATCTTTAGCCACAACGAATGTTGTGTGCTCGCGGTCACGGTGTCTTTTCAATGTCTGCCATGTCTGCCATGCCCATGGATGCCACGACTCCCACACCCTCCTTGCAAACAACACATCCCTTCTCACCGTTCTCGACCTTCCCCAGATTGCTCAAAGGAGTAATCCCCTCGTCCACGTCGCAATCTCCAGACGGCATCTTATGCCGAGTACGCGCCCTAGATCATACGTCATGCTGTCCCTGCTTTCGTTCGAGTGTTACGCTCAATGCTACAGTCACAGTCGCGCTCGCCGTTCGCCGTTCGGGAGGCCGCAGCACTGCTCGACTGCCAGTGGAGTACTACTGAGCGCGGAGGACCACCAAGCTGACTTCAAACTTCGAGCAAATATATGAGCGCTATGGTGCTCGGAGCTGAGCAGGGTCTGGAAATCCTGTTAGTACAGTAAATTGAATGGCTCTCCACGCTCCCACACTGGCAGCGCATCCGAATCCCCCTCCTACTAGTACTACTTACTCTCCGACGCTGACAACTACCATCGGTGTAAGAGCATCCCCCGCGAGCCCGCTTACGCCACGCCGCAGCGATCAGCCGCCGCGGACTCGGGTACCGGCAACAATAGTAATCGCGCCTGTCAGGGCTGTCACCTCGGTGTCAATGACTCAGACCCGTTCGATATCGTGTATCACGTCTGCTGTCCTGTCCCGTCCGCGGTTTGCCTTGTACTGTAGTGATTGAAAGAGCGCCGAGCATCGAATCGGAATAGTGAGTGGAACCTCAAGCTTGAGCGGGTTCTTCTCCTACATACATTCTCACTTCACGGTAAGTAGGAGCGCATTCTTCAAAATACCTCCGTCTACTAGGTGTTCGCCATACTGGGGGGAACGGCCGCCGCTTTGACACCAGTGCCAGTGTCAAGTTGAAGTCCCCCGTCCCCGCGAATTCGAAGCCCCTATGCGCAAGGTACCCGGGCCCGGGACGCGCAGCGAGAACGAGAACGAGCACCTATCCTGTTTGCTCGGTGCAGCTGATCACAGCGGCCTTGAATCGCCGGTGTGGCGAGTTCAGGTACTTCGGAGCGGAGGCCCGTGACTCCCGCAAGTACTTGGGAGCGAGTAGAACACTCGTAAGATGGTACCGCCGACGCCTGTCACGTCTTAGAACATGGGGTATGCATGCCCGAGAGTCACACATCTCACTCAATACTGTACTTAACTGCAGGTCCAGGGACATTCCCGACTGGTGCACCTGCACCGCCGCACGATGCAAGAACCATCCGAGCTTCCTTTCTTTTCTTTTGTAGACA